TAGTATGTAATTCTAATGAAAACAAATGTTAAATATTTTTTTGAAATTCTCTTCCATAATTGAAATGAAATATTAAAAAATATTAGTATAAATTATAAACATATTTGGAAAAAAATTATAAAGTTATAATTGATTGTTGTATTGATGTTGATTAATACTAGGTTTATGCTTTTATCTTGAGAATTGAAAGTCAAAATAAATATCTTTTATAATATCAATTCAATATTATAAAGAAAAAAGAAATTTTCTTCTAATGATAAGAATTATATGATATCATAGATTTTTTTTAAACATTTATTCAATGTTTATTATAATATATTAAGAATTATTTGTATAAATCATAATATTTCTTTCAAGAAAATCTGATATATTATTCAATCTTATATTGAACCAAAAAAAAACACTATATATGCACTATACTATAATGATATCTAGAAATCATTCAAAAAAAGATTATTTAATTAATCGATATTAACGATCAAATTTGTTTTCTCAAAACTCATTAAATAATCGTAACATCATTCATGTAACTTTCCAACTATACAACTTATATCAGAGTTATCATTGCTTCATTTGGCTAATGAATTGTCTATATGATTCATCCACTCATATGTATGTGAAAATACATTATTTATAGAATCCATTGATCTATCCACAGTGAATTTTGTTAAATCTCGATTTTCCACCAAAGTTAATCTCGAACAGAGCGTGTTCAGCCTCGACAAATTAGCGAAAACTCGATCGTGACTAGGGCAAAATTGCGATAATCAATCCTTGCATCGATCGCGGAATATTCGTTTTCCCTCGGTTTTACGTAATCGCTTCAGTGATCGGAGATTGCTCGAAATTGTAAATGGCGGGGGTCATGACGGAGCGAACCGCGCCTCGATTATTCAACGGGTTCCTAGGAACGGGTTATCCCTTTTTAGAACTATCGTACCGTACATCTTCGTACCGTAAGATGATCGTGGAAAATTTATCTTGGAGATGGATTGAAGTTGAAAATTAATCTATCGGGTGGATTAAAATTTCGTCCGTTCGAGATTAATCAAATTTGAAAAGTCATTCATGATTAAAAAGCTACTAAAATTATTATTTTATGATAATCGATATCTATGAGATATCGTATTATATCTATGAGATAGACAAAAATTTTTCCAATATTATTTTTTAATATAATTGAAGGGTTATTACAATTTGATATTATTGTTTTTGGATATAGAATTTTAATAAAAGAGAGGTTATATTAATTTTTTTTTTTAACTTAGTATATTCACCGTAAAAATGAATCTATAATATCCAAATATATAAAAGGACTTTGACTTTATTTCCGGACTTCTTATAAAGATAGAAAGCACAATCAGATATGCATTATATATTTGTCAATAGAATTATTAGAATTAAGCAATCTCTATTCTAAATATTTAGGATATAATGATTTGAAAATCGTACATGCTAGTAACAATTAAAATAGAAAAAATATAAGTTCCGAATCAGTCAGAATTTCTATCAGAAGTTGGAAAATTTGCAAATGAAGATCTGCAAGAGTGATTATCTCACACAAGTATACAACAATCCCACGCTCGTTAGCTATACCGTACGCTTTGAAGGCGAAAGGAACGTCTACCCCAAACGGCGCACACAGGTTCCTTGCATCCACCGATACCGATGTCTCAGGTCACGGATTCAGGGTGCGCAGGGGGATAATAGAGGCGTGTAGCCTCGAGAACGTCTGCGCGTGCTGCATTGCGGCTAGCCCACTCCCTCGTTCCATGCTGCTATGGACGGCAGGCTGTCGAGCGGATAAGGAAAGAGGCGGTTGAACAGTGGTTAGAAGTGAGATAGCGATATAGCCACGAAATTGGAAGGGGTGGGGTTATAGTGAAAAAGCGAGATAGCTATGTGCGCACATAGAAAGAGAAAGACAACTATAGTCGATGGAAAGAAGAATAGTTCGCCAATGGATGAGACAACGATGCCGGTAGAAGTGAACTTTGTTGCAGGTGGAACAAAGAAGATAACGTGCACAGAGAAGGAAAAAGAGAGAAAGATAACTATACTCGATGGAAAAAAGAAGGGCAGTTGGCTAAGGGAGAGACAATGTTAACAGAGGGAGCTTTAGTCGAAGATGAGACAAAGAGGATAAATATGGGAATATAGGCAAGCGTGAAAGAGATAGGGTTATGTATATACGCGTAGAAGGAAGACAGTGCGGAATTTGAAATTAGAGGATGACGGAGGTCTGGAAGCAAGGGTAGAGAAAGAGGGAGAGTGTAGCAACTACCCCCCTGTTTTGCAGTTACGACACTGCACTGCAGCCAGGTACCCCTGCCGCCTCTTGGACGGGGCGAACTAGCCGGATAAAGCCAGTCGTCGTCTCGTGCTCGCACGAGACACGCGCTCCAAGTACTGTTCGCTCTTCGACGATCCGTAAAGATGTAGTCGAATAGATAAATTGGGTCCTCTCGGCTGGACCCGACGGGACATCCAACATCGTTTCGTCAGCCGAGAACGCGTTGTGTCGCCAACGATTCGTTTACTTTTTTTCGTCTTCTCCGGTCACTTTTACTCTCTTAAATATTTATAATCTCGTATCGGTATTGTCGGTGATATTATAAGGGTGTAACAATCATTATATTCAAGCAAAACGTTGAAAAGATTGAAGAAAAAGAGGAACAAAAAATCGATTTTTTGAAAATTGAACAAAATATATTTAGAGGACTGAATAATACCAAAGAGAACATATTTATTGCCGTTATTATTATTATTATTATTATCATTATTATTATTATTGGGATTATATTATATTTATTGCTCTTGTACATACGTGTGATTGTAATACGAGTCGCGAAATCCGAAAATTTATTTGCGATCTGGATTGAATCAGGACAAGAATCATATGTTTAGAACAGGTAAGTGATTATGGGAGATTTAGATTATAGAATTCATGAGATCACGATTTTTGAATATTTAATTGTTATGCAATTATGTAAAATATATAAATTATATAATTTATAAGTTTAATTATAATAATTTATTAAATTGATAAATTTTTTAAATTTTGTAAATTGATATTATTTTTCTTAAAGAAAAAAAATTAATTTATAAAATGAAAATAAATTTTATATCATGAAACATATGTTTTTATAAATACATATGTTGAATGTATGTATATAAACTATTAATTTCACAACTCTCATAATGACTAATGAACACTGATATCTTCATTTTTAAATAAAAAGTTTTTTTATTATCTTTAAATAGAAATATGATTAATATGATTATATTTGTAATATTATCATGAAAATTATTAATTTGTTAAACTATCAGATTTATCTAAATCAGAATTTATCAGCTGACTGGATTCGATATGCAACGTCTTTTCAAAATCTTTCTTTTCTATCAAGTGCAAAAAGATACACTCAATAATAAAAATTTTTATACATCGTACATTAATTTAAATAATAAGCTGTGTCATATCAATAAATTCTGTTTTTAACGAATATTTATGAATATAAATATATGAATATACATAGATTATAATAGGTTAAGTCATGCATATTCCATTATACTCTCTAAATTTTCATTAAAATTAGAACTTTAGGTTTATGTAAATTGCTTTCTAAGACAGTGTATGAAAATTTGTATGCCTAATTATAGTTTTATTCATAGATTTTAAAAATACATATTTTATCTTTATTTATTAGAATTAGAATTCCTAATATAGGTTCTGTTTTGCAAATTACCCGATTTTGATTCTAATCTGAGGTCAAAAATATTATTAGATAAATACATAGATATGCTTCATTATTTCTCAATTACATCATAAAAACAATAACGACATTTTATTATTATGTATCTAATTCATACAATTTGTACTAAATTTAATTAAAAATTAATAACATAATAATATAAAAAAATATAGCATTTAATCTAAAAACTATAACAAGATATTATACTATCTATCCTAAAAATTATAATTCTGTCTTTAATTAAAACATCCCATTTATATATATATATATATATCCCATATATATTTTGAAATATATGTGAAAATTGAAATTTCTATTTATAAGGAAAATAAAAGATATTGATCTCTAAAAAACATATAATAGTTTTTAATTTATTTTAAAAATTAGAAAATTTAGAGAACTCAAAATATCAATATAATCTTAAAAAATGAGAAAATGCTAAATATTTTAATCAAGAAGAACTAATATATTATTGAATATTTAACCATGTTGTAATTTGATAAAAATCTATATTCTATTCATCATAATGAAATCATATGTTATTTGAAATCAATGCTGTTTAATGTATTGATGTAAAACACTATTAATTTCGTATCAATTTAACAGAATTATTATTTTTATTGTGATTATTAATGATATGGTATAAGTTGTTAGAAGTCGGCATTATATAAAGTTTCAAGAAAATCATATTGCTTTATATATAGGATAAATTGATTTTATTCAAGACCAAGATGCTAGGGAAAGATAAAGGTAGCAACAAAGAACTCAATGTTGGCCATTGTGTACCGTTTTATCGATTTTAATTTCTTTTCTTGTGCGATCCCTCTCTCGTTTCCCTTTCTCTTTTTTTTTTCATTTTTTTCCCCTTTCTACCTCTTTTTTTTTCTTTTTTTTGAGTATGATGTATAGTGCGGATTTTTAAAAAACCTGTTAACTAAATCTTAATCTTTGTTGGGAAAAGAGGGAGTCAAATTTAGTTAAGATAATTTTTTGTAAAAATTATTTGTAGAAATCTCGTTTAAAATTTTCAGCTTAATAAACCGTTTTTATTAGATTCTGAGTTTATTTACCTTAATAATGCAATTTCTAAAATTTTATCATTATAATTATCATTTAAAATTTCCTTGATTTTTAAGTTATATTATATATTGATGATTAAAGAAAAATAATTAAAAAAAAGTGAAAATTGAAATCTGAAAAATTTTAAAAAGATAAAATTTTAAGTATATTGCTTATTTATATATATATATATCTTTTTTGAGAGATTTAAGATTATCGTAAATCAATACAATGTAAAGAGAAGAAAAAATCGATTTACGATGTCGACAATCTGTTAATTGAGATTGTAATATCATTATGATAATTTGTGTACGCGCGCGCGGCGCTTGTTTACGATGTCTATTGAATGGAGACTCATTGTAGCCATTTTATCGATCTTTAACTCGCGTCTGCATCATTTAGTTTATACCTTTACGGAGATGGTAAGGATACTCTGAAAGAAGAAAAGTTCTACTTTAGAATTGGGGCAAAAAGATATTATTTTGCACAATTGTAAAAAATAATATGATATCATACGCAAGACTAAGTTTAATTTTTTCTATCTATTATTTAGTTCAAAGATGATATAATTGGTTTTTGTTTTTTAATTATTAAATGAGAATACATAAAAGAGAGTACATATTTTTAACTTTTATCCTCTTAAAAATAATTTAATAATTATTAAGAGTAATAAAATTCGTGAATTTTCCAGAATTCATTATCATATATCATATATAATATTTTTTGCGATATATTAATTCTAATTCCTTAAGATCAAGAAAAATCAATTTATGATAATTCTATGTAAGATACACGTCTAAAGATTTGCGGTTTATCTTATTATATAACATTTAATCCTTTTATTCTACATTTTATCTCGTATCATATTGTCACGTTTTAATTTCAATATATTATTTTTATCTTGATTTAAAAAATCAAATATTTAATTTATTTTTTTTTCAACTATTTCTGTAAATATTTTCTAAAAAATTCAAATTTGAACATTATTATATTCAATCTAAAAATGTTTATTATTTTTAGACTTACTATTCAATAATCCATTAAGAACCTTCAAATCCAAAAAAAATCAGGAATATAATATTTGGATTTATAAAAATCTCCTTCCATTTTAATGTTATTTTTACTTTATCGATTATTTCAATAACAAACTGACTCAATAGAGCGTAGTTTTATTCCCTTTATCGCAGTTTTCACAGTTGCAATAATTAATGCAAGAATTTCAATGTCGACCTACAAATATTCATAACGTTAATTGAATAAAATTTTCACATTTTTTTATTTGTATATTATGATTTTTTTCAATTCAAAGATTATAGAAAGAAATATAGAATTCAATTTCACTAGGATAAAATGTATATCAAATTAACTCTTTTATTTCAATCTTAATATCTCCATAAAATAATAAATTTAAAATAAAAACCATACTTTTGGCGAATTCCATTTATGGATGACTATCTATCTATTTTTCGTGACAATTCCAGCGAACTTCTCCATTCGCTTGTCCTCACAAATTTATTCCTTAGACACTATCTTTTCTAGATAGAGATTAATGTTCAACATATTGCACGTTACATCTTAGTGAGATAAATGGTTCACTGTTTCGTCGCTAGAGTATTTTGTCAATAAACTAATATTAAATTATTGGTCGTTTTTAATTTTGTTGTTCGAGAATATTGATTATATTAATCGTTTTTGGAGTGTTTTTATAATATCTTATATTAAGATAGATAATTTAAAATGATAATTTACTTCATTGGAAATTTAGGTACGACAATATTATATAGTAATATTATAAAATATATTTAATATATTTATTAACTATAATAGTATGCACAGATTTTAAATTTAGCTTGATTTTTTATATTTACATCATATAAAACATTGTAAAAAAATTCATAAATATTCTTTCTAATATTTTTTTGAATTATATATTTATGTAATTAATTTTATTACATAACCTATGAATATCTTAATGAACAATTTTGAAAAATGTGCCATTCTTTATTTCTGTGTGTTATTGCAAGAATGATACATTAAAATGAGTATATTAAAAACGTAAAAATGAATGTATTCTTAGATTATTATTTATAACTTATAATATATAGAAAATAATTATTAAATAAAAATAATTATGAAATATATTATAACAATTTATCTCTAAATTTATATTTCAATTTATATCTTATGTTTTTTACTACATTTGATCATGAAGTTAATTTCGGATAAAAAATTATCGTTTTATAACTTTGCGAAAACTTGTAATTAAGTTGAATATTTTCAAATTAGTTACTATGGAAAAAGAAAATAACTGTTGAAATAGTTATTACTTTTTTTTTTTAAATATTCTGATATAAATCTGTGAAATATGTATAAATAATAATTGTTATGTTTTACATGATTTTAGATAAAAAATATTTAATTAAAAATATAATAGCAAATAGTGTTATAAATAGTTTGCAAAGATTTACAAGTCAACTTCATTTTGAAGAATACAAAAAATGATCTCTTTAAAAATGATTATATATAAAGAAAAGATTTTACGCTGGAATATTATTTTAGTACGAGCTATGGTACGGGTTATAAATTTATGAATATTAATCTAATTATGAAAGCAATTAATAATCGAGACTAATATAATTTTGGAATTTATTTATCACTGATTTAAAAGGATGTTATTTAGAGATTTATATTATAAGTATATTTATTACACCACTAATGAGAATTGAATTGATTAATTGAAAATTAATTCATTGCAAAAAATTAATCTATAATTATAAACTTAATCATTCAAATCTAATATGATTAATCAAAGTGTATTATGAAATTTCTTAATATAATATTAAATGGCATGCATTGATGATTTTTCTTTCATCATATTAGTTACGAATATATTAGTCTATTAGTTCAAAGTGATAGAACGAATGAAAGCGCAGAAATAGGTCAGACTAACGTTTTCTTTTTATGAAATATTGACATTAATGGGCCATTGTGAAATTCAATTACGCTACGGAAACCTTAGTGGACATTTGATATTTCATGTGCACAATACCTGCGCATCGAAAGACTTGCTTTAAAAGATGAAAGCACTCTAGGAAGGGTTCTTTGCACTTAAAATTCTAACCTCTTTTTCCCACGAATTCAATAAATAATATGCTTTTATGAAAAGATTATAGTTGAAAGATATTATGCGATTTTTTAAATTATTTTTCTATTATATTTTTTATTATATTATTTAGCTATAAAATCTATATATATATTATAAACAATTTATTAATGCTTTTATTATTCTTTTCAAAAATATTAAGTTTTAACATTTTTCTTTAAAGAGAATATCTGTTGAATTTAATAAATATATTAAAAATAATTAAAATATTAAAAATATATAAAAAAGATATTAAAAATATATTAAATATATTAAAAATATATTAAAAATATATTAAAAATTCGAATTATAAAGTAATAATGATCTCTAAGAAGATAGTTGGTTTTCCCATTAATCATATTGTTACAATTTATCTATTAATTATGTTCCGAATAGAACAAAGTTTTTCTCTTGCATTTCATTATTCTGATTCATTAATTAAAATTTTTATTTTTTAATCTTCTTTACAAAAAAAATTATTTAATTGCTTTTTTCGAAAGACCGATATTTCTTGAATGAATTTTTTTCGAAAGTTCTTTTTTTAATATGGAACATGTTTTGTAGACAATGGCTGCAGAAAAGTACGATAAGCTCACACCTGAGTTGAAACAAGAATTGAAGAGCATCGCCCAGCAAATTGTTGCGCCCGGAAAAGGAATCCTCGCTGCGGATGAATCGACCACAACGATCGGCAAGCGTCTAAAAGACATCAATGTTGAAAATACTGAGGACAATCGCAGAGCATACAGACAACTTCTTTTTACCAGCGCTAAGGTACAATTTTTTTTATTATATAATGAAGTATTGCAAAAGAATCCTGTTCAAATCAGAAAGTTCAATCAAATATTTAGGCAAAAAAAAAAAGCAATTGTTTAATAATTAAAGTAAAGTAAAATGATTATCAATATATTTTATTTTATATATATAAGTTTACTTTTATTATATCCAATATTATTTTATTATATTTTATTACATCCAAATGAAATTCTAAAATCAATTATTAATATTAAATTTTTATTTAAAGTTAGAATATTCAATTATTTAAAAATAATATCTCCTAATAATAATTTTAATAATTTTTTTCATTTTTTCAAAGGATGTCATCAGCCAGCATATATCTGGTGTTATTCTATTCCACGAGACCTTGTATCAGAAGGCCGATGATGGAACACCATTCGTCGAATTGTTGAAACAACGTAATATCTTGCCAGGTATCAAGGTTGACACAGGTGTAGTAACATTATTTGGTACCGAGGAAGAAACCACTACGCAGGGTCTCGACAATCTTCAAGCTCGTTGTATTCAATACAAGAAAGATGGATGTCAATTCGCTAAATGGAGATGCGTGCTAAAAATCAGAAAGGATTGTCCCAGCAAATTGGCCATTTTGGAAAATGCTAATGTTTTGGCTCGTTACGCTTCTATTTGTCAAAGTGCTAGGATTGTGCCAATCGTCGAGCCTGAGATTTTACCTGATGGTGATCATGATCTTGCCCGTTGTCAACAAGTCACGGAAGAAGTTTTGGCTGCCGTGTATAAGGTGAGAGAAAAGTGCATATTGGTTCGTTTCACGCAATGATATTGATCTCTTGCACAGAAAATTGTATAAATAAATAAATAACAATGATCTACAATAATAACTTATATATCATTTTATATTTATAAAATAGTATCAATTATATTATAAATTGCAAAACATCAATACATTTCTTGTTTATTTAGAACAAAAATTCGAATTTTTCAATGTAACATAGTTTCATATTTTTCCTAAAAATAAGAATAACAATAAACAACACTTATGTGAAAGAATATTTTTTATATATAAAATATAATATAAAGAATTAAAAAATATCATCAGTTTATTTTATGATATTTCATTAATTATTAGTGATTTAATTGTAGAACTTTTTATGTAATAATTAAAATTTGATCATATTTTATAGGCACTCAGTGATCATCATGTGTATCTTGAGGGAACTCTTTTGAAACCGAACATGGTAACACCAGGACAGAGTTGTCCAAATAAAGCATCACCTCAGGAAATCGCAGCAGCTACTGTGACCGCTTTATTGCGTACCGTTCCACCTGCAGTACCTGGAATCACTTTCCTCAGTGGCGGTCAATCAGAAGAGGAGGCATCTGTGAATTTAGATGCTATTAACAAGTTCCCCGCGAACAAACCTTGGGCTTTGACCTTTAGCTATGGCCGTGCTCTTCAAGCCTCCGTGCTTCGCGCATGGGGAGGCAAGAAGGAACAGGTTACTGCTGGTCAAGAAGAGCTTATCAAGAGGGCTAAGGTAATTTTAAGGCTAAGTGTTTTTATTTTAAATTTTCTTCATTATATGTATTATGATGTAAGTAGAATAAATTTTATTTTATTTTATTTTTTTTAACAATTGTAACTAAATTTAATAATTTTCTGTTTTAATTTTTTTTAGTATAATTTTTTGAATAACATTTTAATAAAATATTACATTTATATGAATTATTTATATATGTGAATTTGATTTAATTTTTTTTTCTATCATTTCTTTAATTTTTGGATGTTTTACGATTTTTTTTTTTCGTTTTTATATAATTATATGTATTCTTTTTCCTATTTTATTTCATTTAAATTTATAATTTTACACAATTGTTATTTTCTTATTTTTATTTTTTTAATATCTCTTTTTTGCATGTATATACATTAAATAATTGTTTAGGCAAATGGTCTAGCCAGCCAAGGTAAATATAAAGCTGGAAGTATTACTGGCAAAGCTGCACATGATGTTCTTTTTATAACATCCCATGTCTATTAAACTCCTTCATTCCTTTCCAAAAAACATTTCCATAGTAAGTGTCATAGACTAATTTTGCATTTATTTTTTTTTATATTGCACATAAATATGCTAACATAGCAAGATATTTAATATTGGATACTGATTAAATTAACAAATTGTTATTTCTTGTTAATAACAAATTTGTAATTATATTTTTATTTTTTTTTTAGGCCAACAGCGAATCGGCACTCGGCAAATATAGCGGTGGTGTAATGGGAGCTGCTGGCAATGCTACGCTTTTCGTCGCGAATCACGCGTACTAAAATAATCATTAAAATATTGATAAGGGTTAGATAATTAGATCGAACATCGTTAACGTCGATCACCGTTTGCGATATAAAAACATAACTACCGACAGTGAAGATAGGAAGCGAATAAAGAAAGACTTAAGAAAAATTCTCGAAACATAGAACAGTTACGCAGCGTCTGTATAATTGTATATTTCACAGAGAAAAATTAAATTTTTAAATTTAAATTTAAAAATCGAATGGATTCAATTTTAATCTATCGCGGAAAATTTATATGTTTATATGTGTTTTTTTAAAAATTATATTTTAATGATCGAAATGAATTTTAACAATGATTTTTAACAATCGAGTATACAGAAGCTGAGGAATAAATTATGTTTTGAGATAAATTTTAAAAACACTCAGGATTATTATAAACAAGCGATCATAGTTGATTCTCTTCGT